AAAAAAAAAAAAAAAAAAAAAAAAAAAAAAAAGACAATGTTTCCATAATAGCTAAAAGAATGATCTTTGTGTGATAATTTTGAGTTGCTTCATGTTCATGGTGACCGCCAGTTTTGTTTGCTTGCCAGAAATATCATGTATATTTAAATGATCATCTGCCAGAAGCATTTTGTGATATATTATTATCATTAGTTTGCTGCCATATGTAACATTTGGGGGAAACAGCATGAAAAGAAAATTGCAGAACACAATGCATTTTTAACAGAGATGTTTTTTCTAAGCATGTGTCTCTACTGTTTTGACATTTGAGTTGCTTATCTTTTCTTGGCAGTAGAACTGTATTTCCAATAATCTTTTTTTTTGTTTCCGTTTCTTTATTGTTCTGTTGTTTTCTTTTTTCTCTCCCTGCCTCCTTTTCTATTCYGTTCCTTTGGAATGATGTTCAGTCTATGCCATGGAAATCAATCGTAAGTCTCTGTGGAGAGCTGATTATCTCATTTAGCTGAATATGTTCATTWATCTTTTTCTTGATGAGTTACTCATATTTTAATTACAGCACTCATCCAATATTCAGGGGTGAATCTTGTTTTTCTACTGTAATAGTTTCATTTGAAAATAAGTAGAGKAAAAATATTTTATTTTAATACAAAACGCAGATCAGAAGTTTTAATTGAGYTTAAGTGGTTGCTAAGGCTTGTTTCTAGTACACCAACAGCAAAATAATTGGACTTTTTAAATTATAATGCAGAAGTGGTATTGATTACCTRGATATACGATTAATGTGGTTTTGGCAGTATTTGCCACCTGGTCCCTTTGAATAAGATTAGTATTTGCTTAACTTTCCTGCTWTAGTTTGCTTAGGAAAACCAGRAAAAAAGGTAGGCATAAGTGTAAACCCTCAGTGAAGCTGATCAGGGGCCTCTTCAATACACAGAGTCCCCCTAAAGGTTGAATCTATACTCAGCAATCTGGGATCATTAAGGCAATCCTTTTATCTCTTTCGCAAAATATGCACACAGGCTTGGTTAAAGAATTTGTTTTTAATTCCACTGTTAATATGTATGTATACACATTAAGATCTTGTCTTAGACTATTACTATGAGAAAAAGAAAATCCATGGGAATGTAAATAGAAAGCCACATGGTACAGTAAGGAGTTGCCTCTCTCTTCACTAATATGGGAAATGTAGTTAGCAGCAGAATTTGAAGTAGAAATTAGACATACTTGCTCCTGGAAACAAACTGACAAAATTTGGCAACATTTATGCATGTGTAATCGTTAAATAAATGTGAATAGTGTTTTTAAGTCTCAGGCAATTTGTGAAAAATGCCTCTCCTGTTTTTTGTTTAGCTCCTTGTGGCGATAATCTTTATGATGATGATGGTAAACGCCTCCCTCCGTGCATCCCAGGGGCCTGGCTCACTCCTGCTATTATGGCCTGTTACCTTTTGGTAGCAAATATCCTGTTGGTAAACCTGCTGATTGCTGTCTTCAAGTATGTAAATGATCGTGTATTTTGTCTTATTGTCAAGATAAAGTTTCTGTGAGAACCCATCAACTGATTTGGCAAGGGTTTGCATTCACCCTTAGAATCTCATTACTCTGTGGATGTGACTGGCAAACACTGGCAGCAGGGTGTACCCTGSAGAAGAGTGAGGAAAGGAGGCTTTGCATTTGTGACAGAATCTGGCTATTTCCAATTACCTCCTAAAGGATAGTGAGGTTGCTCTGCAAAGATGAGAAATAGGATCCATGAAACCTTGCACACACCTGACAGAAACGTGTGCAGCCACTGGTAGTCAGCTCTGCAGGAGAACAGCAGAGCCAAACTCTGAACATCAAAAGCAGGAGGCATTCCCACTACATCATCTGGCTTCTTTTTCTTTTTTCTTCTTGTTTTGTTTTTCATTTAGAAAAATAAATTAGGGCCCTGCAATTCTTTCACTACCCAAAATACAGTCTGTATTGCCTTGAACCAACAGGAAGGATGGCTCTGTGTTGCCAAGGTCTGTGGCCAATTCAGGCAGCATGCAGTATGAACATGTCTATATTTGGACTTACCTAGAGTAAAATTAAATTAATTTCTGATGCTTGTTTTTCTTACCTGCACTTAGCTTGCATGCTTTTCTTCTCATGGTATAGGGATTTAAAAGAAAAAACAAACAAACAAAAAAAAACCAAAAAACAAACAAACAAAAAAAAAACCTACTTGCTGGCAATACTTTCTGAACAGAACACCTGAGAAAAGCAGGTGATTCATTTTTGTTGCCTTCAACCATGTAGTGTTGAGGGCTTGTTGGCATAGGTAGCTTATGTCACAAATGCAAAAAATAGTACTTTGTGTGCCCAGAAATCTGCAGCTCACAAAGCCTGTCTTTCATTTGATGTATGTCGCTTAAAAGGTCATGAATTTAAAGTACTCAAATGCCAGTCACATAGCTGGGGAGAAGGGGAAGAATCTTACAATGGTAGCTATTATTGGCTGAAGGACCAAGGAATCAGCAGTTTGGGAAGTAGGTCATGCTGTTAACTCCTGCCATCCCAGCCTGCTTGCAAGGGGTTGAGATCTAGCTGGGCAATTCCTGCTATAAAGGACACACAGAGTGAACACAGATTGTTATTTATCATTGGTAAATAGTCTCATATATACTTAACCTAAAGAAAGCAAAAGCTAYGTGTACACAGAAATGCTGTGCTGTCAAGAGGTGTTTTAACTGGTTTTATGAATGTAAATATTCTAAAGCACATAAAGTTAGAAAAGAAGTGGACAGAAAATAGAAAAAGGAAGTTCCAGTATCATCACCATCATAGAAATGGAGTGAGCTATCTGAAGATACTTTAAAATAGCTTGAAAAGCCTTTTCTGAGACAGAATATAAAGTCTGCTTTCTCTTYGTTGGTATTTCATAACTGTGACTATTGTTATCTCTGGATTGAATGCTATCACTTTATATCAACTGWATTTCAAAATTAAACATCTTTAAAACACACTTTACTTTGCTATAAAAATTATGAAACTCCCAAGAATAAATTCTTTTACAAGAATATGCACCATGTTTTTAATCAGAAGTTTGAGGAAGTAAAGTTTGAATTTAGGACATTTTGTGAAAACTTGAAAAGTCTTCTATGTAGGTCAAGCTGATTAGCATATTAAAGGCAAACTATGTGAAGTTTCTGAGTTTAGCATACAAAATACTTTTCATGGATTTAATACTTTGTGTAGCATCAAATACTGGCGTGTGTTAAAAGAAATAGTTTATAACCGAGCCCCAAAATACCAATTATGTGMTGCATAAATTGTGCAAGTTTCTTTTCATTGGCACCTAAGGGATTTGTGCAGTAGGAGCAAACGGGCTGTTCTGAGGGGTGCCTGAGGGATGCAGAGCACCTTCTGTTTGCTACCTTCAAAAAGAACAGCGAAATCATGAGTTCAATTTAATCCTTGGTTCGGTAGCACCAACAAAGAGCTGAACCAAGCAAGCCATGTGGCTCCATGAGGTTATTTAGCTGCTGCTTTTTTCAACATAGTATTTGCTCAATGATAAGTAAAATTAGAGGCCTCATAGAAGCTGTACCTATGTTTCCTTTCAGCAATACSTTCTTTGAGGTAAAATCAATATCCAACCAAGTGTGGAAGTTCCAGCGGTACCAGCTGATCATGACATTCCATGACAGACCTGTCCTCCCCCCACCAATGATCATCTTCAGCCACATCTACATCATCATCAAGCGCATCTGCTGCCGCTGCAGGAAGGGGGATGGAGACCAGGACGAGCGCGACAGGGGGCTGAGTATGCAAGAAATCTTCTCTAAATTGAGCTCTTTGTACCCTACTAGCAGAAAGCAGCAGCTTCTACAACACTGAACTCTTGTTCAACTTGACCATCAAGTCTTCTGCAGAAGACAGTATGGGCCAGTATTTGTATCAAGTTAACAGCTCTYGGCCTCTGTGGGTGCCTGCAACTCTCTGAGGCTAATGAAGACTTCCTTTAACATGTTTTCTTAAAACAGTGGGATGGTATCTACTTATTCCAGTCTGAATGCTAGGAAGGACAAACAGGAATTTCAGAAGAAGGGATCACAGTCCAAATGTCAGCTATAGTGTCAGCTCTGTGTTTGTGAGCAATCTGTAACTCAGAGTATCCCCATTATAACTTAGAGATTTATCTGTTGTTTCACAGGGAAACTGTGAGGATTCTTCTAACATATTCTGTAACTGTTAATTATTATTTTCATTATGTGTCTCATGGAAAAAATCAGATGCTTACAACTATCCCTGTGTTTCTGCATTTCACAGGAAACATTTTTGCACAATAGGAAAAAGAGAAAGGAAAAAAGTAAATGTATTGCTCGATCCAAATGCAAAGAGACAAATCCAGATAAAGAATGAAGTGTTCCCAAAAGCTTATATTCCCCTTGGATTTTTCTTATATGATTATAAATTTCTTAACATCTTATCCAAAGAATATCTGTGAACAATCTGTCTATCCATTTCCCATAACTGGCATCCTTTTAAGAACAGTACTTGAATGAAGGAACAGTCAAACTGGCAGAGATTGCTCAGGTCTTKATCTTGCAAAATTTGGTCAGTTTGTTCAACACACAGCAGTCAAACAGTGCCAAAGTCAATCAGAACATAGAGCCCACTGTGGATGGCCATTGCCTCCCCATCCTTAACTAAGGGCTCCTTCCCTATTTTAAAAAAATCACCTGTTCATTTAGTGCAGGAGTAAAATCTGCAATATGTCCATGTCTAAAATAAACTGCTAAATTGGATTTAAATTGACTGCCAGAAGTTCAGAATAAGGAAACTCTTCTTTTGTTCTTCTCTTTTGCAGAGTTATTTCTGAATGATGAAGAGCTAAAAAAACTGTATGAGTTTGAAGAGGAGTGCGTGGAAGAATACTTCCAAGAGAAAGAGGATGAGCAGCAATCATCTAATGATGAACGCATCAGAGTTACATCAGAAAGGTATCTGTTGTAACAAAAATATCCACACCATTTGTCTGGAACAGTATTTTTAGTAACTCTTTATAACCACAGTTGAGTTAAAATACAGAAGATTTTGATCTTGAAGAAAACCACCAGCAACTCAAGCTGATCTAAATCCCAAATAACTATCTAAGCAGGTGCATTTCTCACAAGAGCAAACTTTTTATTATTCCTTCTGTTATGTCACTAAATCTGCTGGTTTGGGTAGCTTTGTTATAAGAACATTTTTGTTCATGGTGCATTTTATACCTCTCATTCRTCTGAGGATTTACAGTTATGCTTTTTATCCATTTGAGCAAATTTCTGCTTGTTGAGTTTCCAGCAGTTCAGCCATGAGAAACATGTTGGAGCTTAATGACAAAATCACTTAGGGTTCTTCCCTTGGATCTGTGGTTGACATTAGGGTCTGGCACACACAACTGCTGAATTTTAATCTCTGCCCCAGATTCTCTTGGAGGCTTTGAACAAGGCATTTAGCTTTTCAGTATGAACTTCCCCATTTAAAGGATGGGGAATATTCACATGTAAATCATTAAGCTATTCTGAGGAGTAGGTAATGTTTGCATATTGCTGTGTAAGCACACAGTGCTAATGGCAGAGCCTTTTTTACCAGGTCACTTGGCAGGACTGTTCCCAAAGGCTCTGCCTATSCTGTCAGTAGATCTAAGTAAATCAAAAGATGGGTCTTTTGTCACTTCCTTGAAATGATGAAAAATTSTCCCTGTAATGAAAAGTACTCATATTAAACACTCTTTCATTTTAATCTACCTCATAGTATTCTGTTGATGCAGTACTCCATGTACATATTTATCCATGTATCTATATGCATTTTCATTTTAACATTGGTTATGAATTAGCCCTGTGAGCCATATAATTCTTTGATAGATAAACCTCTTCCTCTTGAGGGAGGCCTTGAACATCTTGCAATTTTATATGTGAAATTTGAGAATAGAGAAGTAAATTAAACTTGCCACATGTRTTCCAGTCGTTTCTATCACACTGGTTATCCATGGCAATTTGTCAAAATCCTGAGTATTGTGGCAGAGAATAAAGCAGGGATGATAAGCCTCACTGATTCACTATGGTCTATGGCCACAAAGCAGATTTGCTTATTTCTCATGGCTTCTTGCTCCAGATGCTTCATCATCTTTTGTGTGTGAGAGCAAAAAAAAAGTTAATTTAATTTCCACAGTAGATTTACTAGTATATGATCTCTAAGCCACTTTCCAATTAATTATTTGTATATGCAYTTTTCTAGTACCGTCACATCCATTATTATATAAATGATAAGAAGAAAATGGGAAGAAGTATTATTTTAATTGAACTAGACAATAGTTCCACTCCTTTCAGCTAATACATAATAGAAAGGTGTTTCAAAAGCTAAAGCAATCCCATCAGCACAATGTATGTTTCTTCTCTCATACAGCTGCAAAACCTGTTTTACAACATGCTTTGATGCTATTTTAAGTCACCCTGTGACTTAAAAAGTACTTTTCAGGTAATTAATTTGATGCTTCACAGTGAAAGAGAACAACTGAGCACACAGTGGGTGGCACACACAGAAATGTTAATAGGAGTCTGTCCCTGAGGGCTCTCCTGCCACGGATATAAGGGCAAAGTTCAAATACCCCACTAATATGTATGGAAAGCATAGATAACAAGAAAACGCTCATGCTTTTGGTGCTACACATAAGTAAAAAGMACCAGGCATGATAGACACCACAAAATTCTGCCTTAGGAAGAAATCAGGAGCTGGGTGCCTACAATGGGCTACTGCTCCATTCCACAGGTTGTGTTCTGTGCTTCCTCTTTTTTACCCCACAGAGTTGAAAATATGTCTATGAGGCTGGAAGAAGTGAATGAAAGAGAACATTTTATGAAAGCTTCTCTCCAGACAGTGGACCTGCGGCTCTCTCAGCTGGAAGAGCTCTCTGGTCGGATGGTGAAYGCTCTGGAGAAGCTGGCGGGCATCGACAAATCCGAGCTGACGTACACGCGCTCACGGGCTTCGTCAGAGTGTGATGCTGCTTATCTCCTGAGGCAGAGCAGTGTTAACAGCTCTGATGGCTACAGCATGTACAARTACCACATCAGTGGGGATGAGTTAACCTTCGATGACAGCACCACTACCATGTCRCCAGCCATGCGTAGAAAATCCCACTCTATTGGTACCAAAGAAGATGGGGCAGACCCAAGGATGCTGGCTCCAGAACACCCCACTGGACTCCAGACCTCGAGTGCTAATGCAGTGGCCACAGCAGATCCCAGTAAATCTGCATTTGAAATTGCACAGAATGTTTCCAGACCCCATTCTGGTTCAGTTGGGAGTGGAAAACAGGGGGTTTTCAGTAGCGATGGAATGATTCCTCAAAGTGTAAACCAGATGAATGCTGTTACRAACAGTCAGTCAGTAGCAGGATCAGATTTTCAGAAAACTCAGTTAAAAGTAGAACGTACCAAAYTAGAAGCAACCATCTCTTATCCCTTGGACAAATCCAAAGCAATGCGCTATTTTCCTCCTGAAACTTTCAGTACTTGCCAAACCACTATGATGAAATCAAGGAGCTTTATATTTGCACAAGGYGGGAAGCTGGTTGGAGGCGTTAACAACTGGACCTCAGAGTATAGTACCATTATGGATCAGGTGTGCCCTTCTACACTTGAGCAGTGGGCCACAGAGTGGAAATACGAAGTTGAGCAGCAGCTGTCTCAAGAGCCTCCTCCAGAATACCCTGGGTTGATCTCCGAAGCAGAAAAGCAAGCAGAGGAGAAGCAGATGGACACAGATGATGATAGTAACGTTGGTGAAGCAGGTATGAGTGCCTCTTACACCTCTATGCCTGCCACTGTCAAGGCTGAGAAAGAGAATTTACTGTCCATAAAGCCAGAAAGGACTTCTGGGTTCCCATCAGTACGCTCAAAGAGTTTGCACAGCCATTCCCGGAAAGCCAAGTCTGTGAAGGACAAATTAAATAGACCAGGACATGCCAGCAGTGTAACTAATTTGACGGTAGCATTTGGCAGTACAACAGAAGAACAGAAAACTAGGCAAGAAAATGCATCCACAGAAACKGAATGTTAAAGTGGCTTATGGCTCCTGTTTTACCAAGTCAAGAAAGCAGTGTGACTAACTGAACAAATTAGGGATTTTAAAATTAATTTTGRAAGAAGAATTTTGAATATATGTGTTTTTTTTTTCTTTTAAACTTAGTAGATACATGTTCTGTTCTTAAATAAATGCTTGCTTGTTTGGGTGAGAGGGAGATGTTCTCTCAGGGGCAGATAAAAAGTAGGTGCAGTCCACAGATGCCAACAATATAGATCTTCCTTTGTTCCATTTCAACCTCCCTCATAAGCTCATTTACAGACAAGCTCTTTATAAMAGTTCTTAAAGGAAGAACAATATTATAATACAATAATATTATCAGAAGACTTCTCAAACTGAACAAATTTTTAACCAGCCTTAGTTTTATCCTTATTTAGGCAGCTGGTTTCTTTGTGGCCATGTTGTTTTTCAGATTAAAAAAAAAAAAAAAAAAAAAAAAAAAAAAAAATAAAAAAAAAAAAAAAAAAAAAAAAAAAAAAAAAAAAAAAAAAAAAAAAAAAAAAAAAAAGTTGTTGGAGGCAAGGAAAAATGATGCAGTCCCCTCTTTCACTTCTGATTTCATGCATGCTGCTCAGCTTCTCTTTCGGAATGGCACAACATAGCAGTTTTCATCCACTAAAATAGGTCAGAGTGGCCAAATGCAGTTGTGTTTGGAGAAATCTGACCTGGAAAGCCATGTATAAGCGTATTCTTAACCTGTCCTTGAACTTCAGTGGCATAACGTTGCTTTCAGGATCATATCTGTCCCCAACCAAAAGCATGCTGACAGCCTTAAACTGTTGAAAAACAGTGATCATTGTTTCAAAATGTTTAGGGAGATTCTAAGAATATTAAGTCCATGGAGATTTTAATAATTGAAATCCAAGAACTGCATTCRTGTTTTATAGAAATGAGGATTACARTAGAAGTCCATGTAGAATAAGATTCTGGCTTTTCTTAGACGCCTGCAAGGGAAATCAAATCAAAACAAAACAGAAAAGGTGTTCTGATCAGGTGAGATCAAAATATAGCTGATTTGTGCTTGAAGCAAATCTACTGTGACAAATTCATCTTTTGTTYTGCAATTTCATTGTGACAACACATGAGGAACAAGGAACAGTTTCTAGGAGTCTGTCTAAACAAAAGATAAATTTGCCAGATGAAGTAGAAATTCTGTACATTTTCTTGAGTTAATTTTGAAAACAAATATCAGAGGGGAAAAAAGCCTCTACAGCAAGTGTTTTGATTACTGAGASTGGAAATCAATATCTGTAGTTAGATTTACCCAGATCACTTGTCTCAGCAGTGGAATCCTAAGTACTAGGTTTTGGTCATTTTCTTCATAATAGTATAATGTTATTTGCTTCATTCCTGCCTGTTAAGTTTTAGAAAYTTTGATTTCCCAAATAATTAGCACCTCTCTTTGCAGGGGTTGCCTACAACTGAACAGACAAATTTGAAAATRAGTTAAAGGCATGTTACTTATTCACAGAACACTGGTCAAAGGCTTTTGCTCAACTTGTTACCTATCCGGACTCATTCATATTCTATTTTAAAAAGACATAATTTCTTTTTTCACTCACCATCAGCCCCACAGTCCAAGTCTCAATGACCTCCTTGACAATGATGCTTACAGCATTTTGAAATGCAGAGATTCATGGAAGATTCTACAAATGCATTAATGGTATCTGATTTTTATTGTTTTTATTGTACTGTTACCGAACTGCAATGACATTTCCCCAAGTTCAATCATCATTTCCTGTGGATTTTTTCTATCTTGGTATTACCAGCAGGTTTACTTGTTTCACTGATGTTGGAACAGTGTTGACATTTTGCTTCTTATGTGGGCTTCTGTTTTCTTCAACTTTAGGGAACTTGATATTTTGTAAAAACAATGACATTTGAAATTGTTTCACTTCCATGTTTACTTCTGTGTTACCATTCTGTGCAACTACATAGCCATTGTGTATATGTGGTTAAAATAGCCTCCAGTTTGCCAATGCCTTTTTATTTTTTGCCTGCACATTCACCAGGAATGGAGTCATTAACAAACACAAAGGGATGCAGCTTTTCAGCACTGTGCTAAACAAGYAGAATGCATTGTGGAATGGAATACACTGTGTTGCATACCTCTTGTTACATTGTCTTCATAAAATGTATGTTAATCTTGCTTTTCACCACTTATTTTTTTTAGCATTTACATTGAAAATTTATCTGATAGCATGTAGATTTCAAATGAAAACATTTTACCTTTGTATTTATATACTTCCTTTGTGTAAAAATATTTATAAAGAAAAATATGAAAAATATGGCTAATTAATTCAGTATAGCAATTTTTTCTCTGTAATGTCAAAACACTTCACTAATCTGTTTCTTCTTACACAGTGCATGGGCTGAAACATTTTCTAAGCAAAGTTCCTTTCTGAACATKTGCCAGTAATTTTCCATAAAATTTTCTATACAGGGATGATTTTAAGAGGTTTCGGTATTTTCTGTGYGCTTGCACAGCATGAGTTGAGTGACAACCTCTGCCATCAAATGTGAAGTAACCACACTGGCTTTGGCAGAGTCATCTTGGACACACAGCCATTTTAATAAGATTTAAATATGGCTTTGTGTATGCATAGAAGACCAATAATAGATTTGGAGCTCACTAAGCAGAATAATGACCAACACATTTGCATGCCTGCYTCCATGCTTTCTTGAATACTGGCTGAAAGGATGCAGGCAGAGAATTTGCATTTCTGAAGAGGCATGTTTAATGCTGCTTTTCAGGAAGATGTGTCCCCCTTTACTGCTAAATATGTGGTGACTTCACAGCAGTGTCACTGTGAATTCCATTGCCATGATTTATTATGTACTTGACCTATACTGAAGCAGGTTAAGCCTAAAGAGTGTGTACTCTAAGGCTGTATCTATGCAGAGATATTACATTGAGGTAGTTGAAATTTGTTCACCTTACAGTATCTTGCAATACAGACATTTCCCTTTCCCTCAAGGCAARTGTTTTAAACACAGTGAGTAATTGTCATATTCACAAAGGCAGGTTCATAACCCTACCACCTGATCCCATGAATTACCCCTTTTTACATTGCATCATTCAAGGACTAGTTTAACTTTGCTCCCACAAGCGTCTCCTGTTGCAGTCACTCTATCCATTTTAGAAGCTGGATTTCGATATCTGAGAGCCAGGAAAGTCCATTTTCCATATAACTTCTTAATTCATTAAAGTAGCTATTGAAACCTTCCAACTATGGTTTCTCCATGCTGCTAATTGGGATGCTTTCTAAGGTTCTGTGCTTGACTATCACCTTTGGCAAAATGTTTYTCTGTCCTTCTAAATAAAAATAAAAAGAACATATCTGCAAGGCCCTGCCAGGAAACAGGAACATGAGGAGGGTGCATGACTAAGGATGTTAACAGGATCACTTCATTAGCTCTGCAAGATCAACAGACCTGTGCCCTGGTGCAGGTGTTCTGGGCTGACACAAAGCCAGTTTGCTGCTGAGCCCTTGGTGTGGAGCAGGTGAGTTTTCCAAAGGACAGCAGCTCTTGGACACGGTGCTGGGGTCCCACAGATGCTTCTGGAGCATTGCCCTGTCCAGCAGGCCGCTTCTCCCTGAAATGGTGTTGCACTCAAAAGCTGTTGGGAGCAAAAAGGAGACACGGCTTGGATGTAAAGTCAGGAATTTATTGTTAGTGTAACAAWTTTTAACAGTCTAATAYATTAATTGTTACTAGTTTAGTTCTRKCTWATTTTAAGAGAGAAGAGAYRAGAGAACAGRAAAGRATACTACTATGCCACTAAATGAAAAAAGGAATAAGGTAAAATTATTCTGTGCATACTTCCTACTATCTGCCCCTTGTTTTGATGTTTATTCACRCCTGCTCTGATCCTCAGGCTCTAATGGTCAGTGGCTGCAGTGGCAATAGTGAGGAAATACAGCCAGCTGTCAGCATCCCAGGTGCTTTGTGGGGTGAGCATGATGTTCATATTCTTTGTCCTTTTTTGCTAATTTAGGGGCGTTTTTGTGTTTGCTACTAAGTTATATCTTGGCTTTCATCACTGGCCTTTAAATTCTACAAATATACCTGAATGTCCTCGTCATTAGAAAAATTGCTTTCACAGCTAAACAAATGAGGCATGAGGCAGGTTAAGGCAAGTTCAGACAAAGTAGTCATGAAAAGCCTCAGTCCTGAGGCCTTGCAAAGTCAGCATAAAGCCCGTGGCCTGCTACCAGCAGTGACAATTAGCCTCTGCTGTGTTAGGAGGCTACATTAGCCCTAGGGGTGTTTTCTTCTCACTGCAGCCATTGCAGATAAATACCACATGCAGCAGTCACCTAACATGAAAACTCAGCCTAATTGTGGATTTTGATTTCCCCACTGCAATCCAGCATCGAACAGGAAGGCAAAAGCAATGTAAGCATCTTGAAGGCCACTTCAACTGCTGCCAGGCATGGGAGTTGGGTTAGTCATGAAACAGCACCCAGTACTTTGCACTGTAGGCTGACAAACCACAAGCCTTGGTAGAAGTGAGACAAACATTCCAGATTTTCTTAAAACTGCAATTTTATTTTGTTTTTTCAAATTTTAGTCTTTTCTGCAGAAATAAAATTTGATATGGCAAGGTGATGCTATATGGTTGATGCCCTCTATTTTTACAATGAATATAAGGTATGTCTTCATGACAGGCTTTAAATTGTTCTTTGCAGATGTTCAGCTGAAATATTTAAGTGGCTGTATCCATCTAGTGCTTGGTGTAGGAAAAGACTCATCATTTCATGTGCCTGCTTCTCTTTTGTCTCTGCAACATGAACCCTCCTGTGAAACTGCAGTGCTTCATCCTGCAGGATTCTAGATGCAGGCATCTCCCTTTGCATGCCTGACTGGAGAGCTGTGCTCAGCAGGCAATCACCTGTGCAGACCAACAGCCTTCAAAAAGGGCCATGGAAAAAGATTAGATTTTAATGTAGTTAGTCACTGGCACAACACCKGTGTGAAACAGTCCAAGCCAAGGCAGAGCACTGTACCATGAATAGCACCAAATGACTCTAGGYAAGTATTCCTACACAATGATTAACAAGGAAAATACCCTTAGGTGACTTAGCAAAGCTCCATGTCGTTAAACCTCCACACAAAGAGCACAGCCTCCACTTCATAGAATGGCCCTGCAAAGGAGGCTTTGTTCCTTAGATACCTCAAGAAACTTAAACCTCTGCATACTTTTTATGTCTTTTGTATGTCTTAGGTCAAGACTGCCAAAGTTGCTGTTTTATGTAAATGGCCACATTTTAAATGCTCTTCTCCTTGATCTTCATCAAGGACATTCAGGAAACACTTCCTTTTTTACCGACTGCTTAATAAATTTGAGGCATTATATTTTTATTCTTTAGGAGGTGATAGAGACCTGTAGGGCTGGCTCCCTCCCAAGTCCCCAGCCCCAGTCCCACACTTCTGAGTGAAGGTTGAGGCATCTTGGGTGCACAAATTATTGAGTGTGCAAGCAGACAGTTGTCCAGGTAAAGTAATAAACTGTAACACTTTGAGTGAAAAATAAAATTGACTTTCATCAATTAATCCCTGCCTTTGCAGACTTGCTGCACACTTGCTGTAGCTTTGGGCACATAGCTCAGCTGTGAAATCAGACAACACTTWTGTCTTTTTATCTTGGAGTTCAAACCAATGATTGAAGCAGTCTTCAGAGAGCTATGAAAACATGTAAGTTGCCATAGAAATACRGGCCTGGAAGAGATCATCTGCACTAGGCAAGTTCAGCTATGTCAATAGCATCAGTGGCAGAGGGTGGTCTAACCTGTTCTTGAACATGTCTAATGAAAGCCATTCTTTTATCTGCTGAGAGATCAAAAGGGACCATTGTGAAAATCTGTTCTGACTTAACCCCAGCCCTCATGGATTGCACAAGCCAAAGCACTTCCCCAGCCACAGAGCTGCCCTGTGAGGTTGGACCAGAACTTTTAGGAAGGTTCCTAATCTGAGTGTGCCCTGAATGAGCAGGTTATGCACYCCAGGCATAGCTAGATCTATAGATACAGATGATAGATAATCATCTGCACTGTCACAAACAATGGCACTGTGTGTGAACAGAGCCCCAGGAGACAACCACGCAGTGAGGGGGGTGATAGCACCAGGAGAGCAGGCCAGGCTGATTCTCAGAGTGGGCAAGTGACAGGGTCCTGGTCAGGCTAGCACACAGGASATASCACTGARTAACAAGGTAGWGGCAAGGAAAGTAAGTGTGYTGAGTAAAAAAATGKATTTTTAAAAYATTGAGAATAACACCAGRCATCTGCAGTCTTTTCAKTTCAGCTGGCTTTGTTGCATAGYTGTCTTCCCACCATTCTTTCAAGACTGCCGTCATAGAACAGAGGCAACAAAAATCTCTGGCTTAGCAGAACTGTTTGAAAAA